AGGCTGTAAAGACTCGAGGCACCAAGAGTGAAAGAAACGATAAAAGGGAGAAATTCTCATTAAATCCCATGAAACTGTACTCAAGGGAAAATGTATACTCTTCTATAGTTTTATTACTAAAAAGAAAGGCTAAAAATAAACTCAGTGCTGAGCTACAGAACAGACAATAGACAAATAAAAAATTGAGAAAAATAAATTTAGTGAGTGAGAGCTCAGAGACCAAGTCAAAGTAAAAAAGTGGTACCAGGAAACCCCTTTCTCTCTCCTATTACATTCTCCGCTAATTCCCACTTTAGTCTGACTGACCTGGATGTCTGCATGCCAGAAAGCTGGCTGTCTGTCTGTTCTACTCACAGACACGGAAGCAGCTTTCACTTACTGCTCTAGCTTGTACACACACCCAGGGATTTCAGTGCTGTGGTTCTCTTTTTGTCTTTGATATTTGACAGTTTGTTATTTGCCTCAGTGTGGGTCTCTCTAGATTCATCTTACATAGAACTTGCTATGTTTCCTCTATTTGTACATTTGTATATTTTAATTTTGGTCCTACTTCTCCAAATCATTTCTCTGAATCCCCCTTTTTTTCTTTCCATCCTTTCCTCTCATTTCTATCTCTATCTAATCTCTCTAGCTCTAGTATCTCTCTTCCCTTTGAGGACTCCTCTAAGGCATCAATCTGTAATATTGCTCCAGAACTTCCTTACTTCATTGGGCTTTTTTCACTTTTCTTCATTACTTTTTTTACTCCTCAAACTGGACAATCTTAAGCAATCTCTTTTCAAGCTTGTTAATTCTTCATCTTTCCTGCGTGAGTCTATATTTGAGACTGTCTAATGGATCTTTCCGTTTTGTAATTATATTCCTTTTTATAATTTTGGCTTTTTTGTGTATGCTGTTGTTTTTTTCATATTTCAATTTTTTTTTCTGATTTCCTTTGTTTCTATATTCATGTCCTAATTTAGCTTTTGGAGCCTCTTAAGGCGTTACTTTTTTATTGTATTCTTTTTATTGAGGTAATATTGGCTTACAACACTGCGTGTGATTCAGAGGTACAGTGTTATATGGTTTCAGAAGTATGTTAGCATCACTGACACCAGGCACTGCTCCCGCCCCAACTCCTCCTGGGTGCTTGGGGATCACAGTGAAAATCACAAGCAGAGATGGGGGTGATAGCTTAGACTCTCAGACTTACCCAGTGACACATTCATCTTTTTGAATTGTCAGCGAGGACAGGAGAGATCTGCTACATCTTTAGCAGATAGAAAGGATCTAGCAGAGGGATGCAGTGAAGTGGAAGAAACAAATGCTTCAGGAAGGTAATCCTGGACACAGGGGCCAGTCCGTGCACTGGCGGACACATGGCTACATGAGCTGCTGGGAGGGAAGTGACTGAAGCCAAGATCCCATTACCCTGCAATCTGTCAGGATGCCAAGGAGCAGGATGTGGACTCCGGCGGGGTGGGGGTGGCAGGGCGGGGTATGGCTGGGATGTGGTAGTGACAAAAGTCCTGGGGACAAGGAAGCTGTGGCTATAGCAAGCAGAGAGGAGGTGAATCTTTCAGGTGGCACTTGATTAGCTGGTGGGGAAGACCACCTGACCCAAAGGGTGCCAGTTGATGGTAATACAAAGCCCAGTGGTTGGCATAGTCCAAGGGAAGGCAGGATTTTGCAGTCAGAGGAAGATGTGATTCAGAAGAGACAATGCATTGAGATCAGGAGATGATGGACTTGAGAGGAAGAACAGTCTTTAGATGCTATAGGAGAAGGCGGGACCTGAAACCACCACTGTTTTTTGTTTTAAGCATTTAAGTCTTTACTCTCCAAAGGCAATACAATTCCCCAGCTAAAATAGGAATAGCAAGATAAAGTTTCTGAAAATTATAATAGAAAAGTATCACTCACTGATTTACTTTCCTAATTAGCAATAGACTATTTACAAATAAGCAGATCACCAATGATTAATATATATATGTATATATATATACATATATATATATTAAAAGGGCAAGTCTATTACTGTTTGAAATCCAATGCACATTTGATCTGTGAGCTTAAAACAGACAAACTTTGTGGCGTAATGGAAGATTCATTTCATTATTGTCCCCTGAACACATGAACAACCAAATTGTAAAGAAACACTTAATATATAGGGAATAGTTTCAAAAGGAAATCTTTGGAGATCAATTTAATACAAATAACACATACTAAACACATTCCTGATAACTATAAATACTGATAACTAACAGGCATCCAAGAAATGGCATCTTTTAAAATAACAGCTATTAAGTAAATTAAAGGTCCTTTGGATACAAAGGATAAAACAAAATAGCTTATGTGCAGAGAAAATGGGAGACAGACTTCTGCAAGGAAGTTTGGTATTTAGCAGAATTGAGTAATGTACAATATCCCATTGACATAGTGAGTGACTTGGCAAGGAGACTAAGCTAAGGGTTTGCTGGGCTGGGACAGGGATGTAGAGACAGTATGAATGCAGAGTAGGATTTTTTTAAAAAGATTTATTTATTCATACAGAACTGGGGTATAAGCCAGAGATGCAGGGACACTGAGAGGATTCACCAGAGACAGAGTAGGGAACAAAACAGGCAGATGGATGAAGTACACTGCTGAGGGGTGCAGTGGACGAGACAGGAGAGGTCTGCCGTGCCATGTGGATCATCCGGGGGCCGGGGATCGAATGCGCACTGAAGCAGCTGCGGCCAGATTGCAGTACTGCATCCTAACTTGTGCCACCAGGGAGGGCCCCAGAGTAGGATTTTATGGATATAATAATCTCTGTATATTTGCTAATATTTCAGTAGACAAAGAGAACTAGGTCAACCTTAGCTAAGGCTGGGATGAGAAATTCTGAGATTACAGAGAACAGATGTTCATTTTCGTATCTGTGTAGCCTGGGTAAACTGAAAAGATTAAGAGCAGATAGTAAGCGTGATGCATTGTCCTTATTGGATTGCACAGGGCACAGAGGGGGAAGAGGAAGAAAGAAGCAAAATCTGGGCAAACTGAGAAGGGCCCAGAAAAGCTGGATGGATTCTGAAAGGATGATAAAAATACAGAATCAGGATTAAAGCCAACTGAAGAACACAGAGCCTTTATTCTGCAGAAAGGTCTGTCTGTGAGACCACAAATTGACCTTTTTCTCTACAAATTGTCCTTGGTCACCATGTGGGTGCTGTGGGCACAGTCAAGTCCAGGGCTGAAGACTGAAGCCCAACTGCTTGGTGGCTGGTGTGTTGTTTTAGCTGACTCCCCTCTTGGGTACTGTCCTCAAAGACAGCTGGGGGCACAGCACACAAACACTCGCCATCCACTGTGACTCTAAGTTTGGGGGATCTCTGAAAGGTCACCCCAACTTCAGAGCTCTGGTGAACTCATGTATGAGTGAGCACCAAAGGGAAACTTCATTTTCTTCCTCCTTTTTGTTCTTGTGTCTAATCTTCCCTTTCTTCAAGTACATGTGCAAGCCTTTTGCATTTCAGAGCTGAGACCTCAGTTTGGAGGGACTGGTCCATCTGGAATGGCTATGCGGGCAGAGATGAAGGAGGAAGTCTGAGTTGAAGAGGGTCATGGGCTATGTCTGGGGATAGACATCTCGACTGCTGACCATGAGAGGGGTGTCCTCTGGACAGTAGAGCCCTGCATCAGGCTGCAAGGACCTGGCCACCAACATTTTGGGTTATCATGGGAAACCATATCCTGACTTGTTAGCTTGATCCTTTCAGATTCTGGAAGTGGAGGCAGGTGCTGCCCAGAACAGATCTGCAGTGACCCTGACTCTTCTGGGTGGCCTCTCATAATACTCACACATTCCTTTGAAATGAAGAGGGCACTGGGAATGGTCAGCTGCCCTCCTTTCAGGTGTCATTGGGGCAGATTTGCTGATGCTAGCTGTAAATAACTGGCAAAATGGTGCTATGATTTTTAATAACTATATATATTTCAATAGCCATTGTGCTTTATGGTAGGAATTAGAATGAATTGGTGAGCAAACAAATTTTCTTGGTTAAAATTATCATTCTTAAGCAAGATTTTCAAAACATGGATTTCTTGTGAAAAACATTGAAGAAATTTCCTTTGGAAATGAACATCAAAGGAATGCTGTTTGGAATTCTATAGACATTTAAAATGGTCTTAGAACATGAAAGTGGAATTCCATGAGCTAAATCAAATTTAAAGACCAAGAAAGTATTAATATTGCCCAATTCTCTTAGAAAACTTGGTATCCAAAAATAATCAGCTAAAACAGAGAAGAAATCTTCCTCAGACCTGTAGATTAAAATTAATATGAAGCAATGCGATAGGCAAGTGTTTAAAAATGTGAACATAGGACTGTTAATATAAATCTTATTTCTTGCTGATTCACCAGCTTTTGATCAAGGTTTCTTTGACACATGTTTAGCAAAGTCAGAAAATAAAACTGCTTCTTTCTACTGAGAGAAAAAGCTGTTCTACCCGAGAGACTGCCAACGGTGGTTTTGTTTAGAGGAGTCTTTAACTTGGAATGTATTAACCTGAACTCAGTGTGGACTTCAGGGGCTTGCCCTGATTTCATCTGCCTTGCAAATGAGTAGTTTTTTAAATAATACAATAATTTATTTTTACATAATTTTGTGCCTTTTTCCATCTCAGTTGTAATCCCCGTGGGCTTCCCATCACCACCCCCCGCCCCCATTTTTGATCCCATTCCCCACTCCACCCCCATAAAATGTCTCTGGTATATAGTTGTTCATCATTATTATGATTCTCCCCCACCCAACCCCCGTCCTATATGCTCCTGCTATGAGTGACACCATCCGGTATTTTTCTTTTTCTGGCTTATTTCACTCGGCATGATCCACAAATGAGTAGTCTTACATTTAGTATGGCCCCTGAAGGAAAGGCTTAGGTGATCGGTAATAATTACAGTTTGGAATGTGAGCAGTCTAACCCAAAAGAATCTGTTGCACTTTCAATGAAATTATTTTAATGTATCGACTTCTCAGAAAATTCCAGTCCTTGCCATGTATTCCAGCAGCATGCGGTAGGTGGCACCCAGAAGCTTACTGGAGGAGAGCAGGCGCCATTTAAGCAGGAGCAGCCGCTGCAGTTGGCACATCTCAGAAGTCAGAGATTGAGGACGGAGCAGGAAGGCCGGGAACCCAGCGGGCGGAGGGTGCAGGTGCGCGGGCGAGCGGGGCCCCGCGGGCGGGAGCTGACGGCATCGTCACCGAGCAGACCGTGCGTGCACCCCGCCTGCCTCCGGGAGGAGCCGCAGCCGCACAACCAGCGCTGCCCCGTCCTATGCGAGGCGAGCTCGGCGAAGCTCTGAGCGGAGTTGTGTTCGTCCTCAGGTAACCGATTTCCCCTCCTTAGCTGAAGCTTTACTGCGTCCGCATTGGGGCCTGACGGCTGGGGCGTTCCTGTCCGCGAGCCGCTGAGAAGGGCTGGCGGCTACCGGGGAAGGCGAGGCAGCTTTATAAATATTGAAGTTGGCGAGGGCGGGTGGGGGAAAGCTCTGTCTGTATCCTTGCTGGGGTGGGCGAGCATCTGGATCTCCTGATTTAAAACACGCTCTTAAACACATCTGTAGTTTACCCAGTCAGTGTTGGGGATTCCTCCCGAAACAGGAGGTAGCGTTTTTTTTTTGGAAGATCCTGCGGTGCAGGTGTTTCTGCTAAGGTGGAAGTTGATTTAATGGATCTACGAAAGTCATAAAAAGAGATGGTCCGAAGTGAAAAAATGCAAAGCACGTTAGAGGCTGCTGTTCAGTTGAGCATGTTTTCCTGCTAGACCGCAGCATTAAATGGGCTTGGCTGAGACTTGGTTCAATATTTTGATTCTCCGTGGAGAGACTGCATGTCGTGATCTCTACATGTGTCCCTTCCTGTTTTCTTGTGGTGAGAGCAGAATAGAGGGAAGGCGCCGCATCTCAGCCTTAGTTGTAAGAATGTGGTTTCCATTAGTGATGATGACCGCTGACAGCTTCCATTCTCGCTGCAAAGCACTGCTGGCTTTTCCCAGTGTGGGAACCTGCCGCGTCTTTCTCTGGAAAAATGCTATTTTTCCCCTTTAAAACTCCAGTTCACATGCTGTGGGGGAATTTGGGAGAGTTTTCAACTAGAAGCTCGTTGAATCATGTTCCATGACCGAACGCCGTCATGCAACGTTGTGTTGGAATTTGGTTCCCTCTGACTGTGCAGTGACACAGCGAGCCTGCCTTAGGAATTCATGGGCACGTTGGTGCCTGTTACCTTTCAGCGACCCCCTTCCACGTGAGAAGCTGTACTCCACATCTGAGACCCATTCTTCTCGAAACTGAAAACTTTAAAAATATTCCTTTTTTCAAGGGAGATTTTCTAGGTAAAAATAAAAACTGGAGCATTTTACATTTCAGATCCATCCAAATGCATTGCTTTTCCAGTGGCATTTGGATTTGAAGAGGTGGAGTGGGAGGAAGAGAAAAGGAAGGATAAAATTAGAATAAATTTGACAAATTTGTGGGGGGATAATACTATTTTTTGGGATGTTGTTTGAAATTGCGAATTGTCAACAGTTTTGTCTCTGGAAATGTGGAGGGTCCTGAAGGCTGACTACAGGAAAACCATAGTTCATCTTCTAGAAACAGAATACAGAAGGAAACATTTGCTTCTTATTTAACACATGCCATTTAATTTGGCCATAAGAAAGGTAGTCCTCAGTGAACGCAGGGAAAGGGGAGAGGAAAAGGAGGGGAGAGTGAAGGAGAGGTGACTGCTTTCTGTACTATGACACAGAACAGCTGCCCACCCCTCAGTTATCCCCGCAGACGGCAATTATCCATGCATGGTTATTGTAGAAGGCTCCAGAATCTTTTTTTGTTACTGCTTTAATAGAGTTGTTCCAAAGAAGAGACTCGGGAAACACCCAGATTGAATTCCAAGTTGTGCTAGACCCTTTTCAGCTGTGTCTAGCAACCTAGCATTCTCAGCAGTCAGTAATGCCACTTCATATCTAGAAGATTAATATCATGTGGTACATGTCTTATAAACCACATATGACTTTGCCCTATTAACATGTATTATTT